AACACTTGAGATCATCAACTTATCAAGATAAAAAGTTATTTTGGATCCCAGTTTGCGAGGTTTTAGTCCTGGTTGCGGGGGGAGGGGTGGCGGGGAATGGCAAGGTGGGGGAATGTGGTAGGGCAAAACCGCCAGGAAGCCAAGAAAGGGAAAAGGAGGTGTCTGGGTTCCCACAATTGCCTTTGAAGCCATATCTCCAGAGACCTTAAGACTCCACACTTGGCCCCACCTCTTAAAGGTTCCACCACCTACTAAAAATGCCACACTGGGGCCCAAGCTTTCAACATGGTGGGTTTGGAGGAATTCAAGATCCAAACATTAGCATTCACCATGACCAGTATTCATGAAGGATGAGTCAGAAACTACAAATAGAGAATCAACTTCTGTCTCTTCTGTGTCCTCAATACCCCACAGTGACAAGCGCACAGGGGGCATGGTGCATCTTCTGACGTGGATCAGGGGCAGCACCTTCTAAGTGACCTCACCTTGCAGCTGGTTGGTACATCCCACCTTTCTAAGTGGAGATCATTTCTGTGAATCTCCAATCTCCAAACCTACAAAATGCCTTCCAAGATGAAGATGGAGTTTCTCCACTAGGATTGTTTCTCTCTGGGCCTCTGCTTTGATGTCTTCACATGTTTGATAGAATGTAGCAAAGACTCTCTTATAAAATCCAGATGAAGCCACCTGGGTCTCAAGATACAATTTGAAACTTGGCTGCTGCTTGTGAGCCAAGGAGAAAATATAATATTAACCATAAGAGCACAAAGTTTAATATAGAAAGATGTTCAAGCTTTATAATTACATTCAGATAGGAGCATACACGCTTTCCAAGAATAACAACCTGCAGCAATGTAGAACATCTCTCAGAAGTAATCCATAGTCATCTCAAATGTCCATCTGGCCATCAACTCTGAGGAAAGTGCTTATTTTGAGTACCTTCTCTTCACTTGGCATGTAGTATGTGTTTTCACCCGCATTTAAAAGCTTGGATTATTGGAACCAGACAGCATAGGATTAGCTTCTTACTAACTGTGATAATAAGCTCATCACTGAAATTCTCTGGGCTTCAGGTGACTTATCTGTAAAACAGGGGTAATGTTAGCATCTGCTCTACGAGACGGTTGAGAGAATAAAATGAGTTAATATGTTTGTTACCACATAAAACCATGCATAGTGCGTAGTGAATACTTGGTGAATGGTTGCAGTTAAATTGTCTCTTCTGCTTTAAAATGCTAGAAAAGAATTAAGCCCTGCCCTTTGGGTTTGTGGAATGAAGAAAGCCACTTTCCAGTGGAAATGTTCCAAATACCTGAGGCAGAAACAAAAATGTCTGAACTGGACCCTCTTTCCCTCTGTTCCAAGAGCTCAAAACCATTGCAAAAGACACGTGGACAGAGTGGAGGGCATTTTTAGAAAACATACCTCTCAAAGAGTATTAATAGGTAATTTACCCTATTTCCACTGAAGAGCAGTCTGTAATAGTCAATGTCAGGACACAGTAAAACAAATATTTGGGCTAGGGGGTCACAAGAGCTAAATGCAAAGGAGAGAACTTAATGCACACCTTGGAGTTTCCAGCTCCCTTTAGCCCTTGATTTGAAGATGGCTTATGAAACCCGATGGTAATTCCCGAGGTGGTCTTGCATACATTTACATATGTTTAAAAGATGGGGAGTAAATTCTATGTTCCACATCTGTTTCTCTCACTAATCTTTCCAGGGTTTTCAGTTTGCTTGGCCCAGTAGTAAACAATTTATAAACTTTGTGTAAGGATTCACGTTTGGCACATGCCTGTGTTATCTTTGTGAGAGCAAGAGGATGGAGATTGGTAGTAATCAAAAATTAGCTATTGAAGGGTACAGAGCTGCAGTCATACAAGATGAGCAAGCCCTGGAGATCCACTACACAGCAGAGCCCATGCAGATAACTTTATTACCCATTTAAAGAATTGCCCCGAGTATAGATCTTAAGTGTTTTTGTTACAAAATAGTAATGAACAAAGCAGGTGAGAGTAAGGCTTTGGAGGAGATGGAGATGTTTATGACAGAGAATGTGCTCCAGATTTCACATGTTTGTACTTGACCTCTTAACTCATCAAGTAGTATACATTAAATATGCATAGCTTTTTGTTTGTCACTGATACCTTAAAAAGCTGGTTTTTAAAATATCATTTATGAAGTAACTTATGATTGTGTCAGGCCCTGTTCTGATTCTAGGTATCTATGTCTATATCTGACTGACCTCATTTACTTATCTAAGAATCTTTTTAGGTGGCTCTATTAGTGAGATCAATTGGCACTTTTACCTCTGACAAAGGTATCCCAAAATCCAGTGCAGAAGCACAATATGAGCTTATATGTGTCCAACAATGTCCAAGGTAGGTAGGCAGCTCCCCTGGCAGCGATCTGCTAAGGGATGCCGCAACTTGGAGGTTCCTTCTACACCTCCTCTGAGTCCTTTTCTTCCTTCCGGGTGGATAGAGGAGAGAGAAAGAACAGGGAGCAGGTACCCCAGATCTAAGCTACTTCAACCCAGATGTACCTCACTACTTCTGCTTGAATGGCATGAGCCAGAAATCAACTTTATCCACCAACCTCCCTGGAAGGAAAGTTGGGAAACGTAGATCTAAGTCAATGCTAAAGTATTTGCACAGTTTGCCCTCTGGCCACCAAGGGTCCATTTCCTTCTCTCTTCCCCGACACAGAGCAAGTCTAAAACAACCCCTAATGCCATTTGATCACAGCATTCGTCCCCCAGGCAAGGGCTTCTGGGCTGCAAAGGTCTCTGCATAGTCCAAATGTGACCAGCTCTTGGTCCACTGACCTATGAACTAAAACAGAAATGATCTATGAACAAATCAGGCAAGCCACCTTCCTCTCTCTCCCCCTAACCCCTTCCTCCCTTCCTCCCTCCAATGGGTGCAACAAGATAATCACAATAAATATTCCCATTCAGAATGGCAAATACATGGCAGCCACTGACCCCTGTCTGTACAGGCAGAGTGAAGGCCTGCTCCTGTGGGTGGAGAAGGTCCTATCCCTGGGCTTGCTCTCGAGGGAAACTCTCTTGAAGGTTGTTCTCTGCAGCTGCCAGTTCCCCTGGAAGTCCCATGCCCTGCTCCCCTTGGCCACCATGGATGGGCATGTCAGGGAGCATCCTCCACATTCCCACAACACACCTCCTGCTGGTGGAAAAAGCTGTTTTGGGTCTTGAAAGACATTTTGAGTACAGGCTTACAGGAATTGTGAGCAATACAGTTTTATCAATGTAGATGTTCAGCCCCTCAAGGAATTGGTAGGTTCCTATAAGTCATCAAATGCCCTCTCTCCCTATTTCTATTCCTGTTTATAATGTAACCATTTCTTTCCTGGGCTTGTCTCACCCTGGGAACACCTTGACAAATGCAGTCACCATAGGCAACACACACAGCTCATGTTTTCCTCAGCCCCTGCCATGGAGCTACTGAGTTACTCAGCACATGTCTCCTTTTGAGCTGTCATGACTGTCAAAGCCACCCAGTGTTATGCCTCTGTGAAATGTGGAACTCCACCTTTCCAGCCTCTGGATCAGCTCCCTGGCCACTCATCTATGACTATTGGGCCAAGGCCACTGAGTGAAGGTTTTGTTAGAGCAGCATTCATACCCATTATCAATATTGGTATTAGTCAGGAAAAGGCATGTTAGCTGCTGTGACAAACATTCCTCAATCTCAGTGATTTCATAAAATAGGCCTCGCTAAGTACTTAATACATAGAAAGGTGCCTCATTAAAATTTGCTGAATAAATGTTTTATGATATATAAGCAAATAGGTTGTTTTGATATATTTAATCTGTTACTGTTAACAAAATCAAGCTTCAAAGAATAAATTCACACATACAAAGCCATATACTGTAGATCCAGGATCTAGATCCAAACCCATGACAGGTGCTTGGGCCTACAATTCTCTCCTCAGTAGCAGTCAGAGCAAAAGTAGATTCTATCTTATTCTCTGCATTTACAACAAAGAAATCCTAAAGCCTGACCATTTCCCTGTAGTTTTACATCCTTTCTCTCCTTGAATGATTTCAATCAGAGATATTATATTGCCCACTATCCATTGCATACTAGTTACTTTAGGTGACTCAAAAAAATATAGTGGGAAATAATCTATAGTTTTTGAAATAATGAGGGTTTGGCCTCAAACTTGTTTGTGTAACTTTGTGCAGTGAGTATATTTAATGATTTGCGCCCATGTCAATATTTCTATTCTCTACTGAATGGTCTGTTTATTTAGTCAATGTTTCTATTCACTTAGGGGATTTTATTACTAGCTATTTATTAAGTCTGGCACAGGCACACATTGTTCTATGATTATTTCTGTGCAAGTTTTGACATATTAACCACCTCTATTGCATCTACACATATGCAAGCCAAAATTGTCAAAAACTGTTGACTGGTCTGAACATAGGCAATACTTCATTCATTCAATATTTATTGAGCAACCTATTGTGTAGCAGATACTGAGCAAGATATGTTTGGGGATATACTATTTTTTTAATAACTTTGTTTATTGACCACACTTCACATTGTTTATAATCTGAATTCACAAAAGCTTGTGGGGTGTGGGAGTAAGGCAGTCAAAGAAAGGATGGAAATAGTAACATTTGTAATACATTTACAGACTGAAATGTCGGAAGATTTATTCTGATTAGAGACTGAAATGTCAGAAGTTTTATTTGACCGCACAGAGACAAAACTTGCAAAATAAGCATCCTTCCTAGAATTATGATTCACATATGGAATGAAACTTAACCATAACATCATCTCAAGTACTTTCCTGTTTTATAAAATCATCAGGTACAATTACTTGACATTTTCAAACAGATAAATCAGGGACACGAAGCACAGAAATAACTCAGTTAGCACAAAGAAGATATAAACACAGTTTCACTGGTATCTCAGTCTGTGAGTTGAAGCAGGAACTTTCTTAAGTGCTTTATTTTTTTCTTCTTCCAGCAAAATGATGCCATTGGGTCCTTGGGTAACACTTTAAAAGGCAAAAGCAATGTGGAGCATTGGGGCGCATAGAGCCACTCGTGGGAGAAAGAGTGAGCAGTGTTTAGATACCTGAGACCCTGGCTTTTGATTTGCCTCTGCCTGGGGTCTGCACATGCTGCTTGCTCCTGCTCCTTCCTAACGAGTGTATAGATTGAGCTCTTTGAAATGTGAGTATTATGGGAAGGATCGCAGTTGCTTTAAATTATAGGAGTTGGCAAGTGCCTGGGAGAAGGAGTGGGAGGCTGTTTAAACTGAGGAAGACAGTTGGAAACGCTGTACACCAGCATGAGCGCCACGCTTCAAACGCCTTCCCCTGCTCAGAAGAGCACTTTATTTTTCACCAAGTCGTTTTGGGGATTCTTTTGGAGCAGCTCCGAGTAATCAGCATATTTCTGCTTTGCAATTTTTTTTTAATGGTTTCTAAATTCATGGGACAACCAACGCAAGAAAGCCTCATGTTTGGGGGAAAAGTTTGATACCAGCAATGCCCAGAAGAGGTAAGCTACCATTTGCATTACAGCTTTTCTCTCTCTCTTTCTCTCTCTCTTTTTTTTTTAAATTTTATTTTCCCTCCTCTTTGGGTTTGGTCGAAATATTTACTGGAAGGACTTGAAATAGCTACTTGTAAAGAAGTGAGGGAACTTGAAGAAAGAATGTCAACAAATGATAAATCAGAGGTCGGAAAACCTCAGCAGAGATGCTTTCTCCTACTTTCTATTCTGCTTGATGCATGAATCTCTGTGAAATATCTTTGACTATTTGGAAATGCCACTTCTTTTAGAAAATGCTGGGAGAGGGTCTCCAAAGTCTCCCATCTATGATAGACCTAGTGTTGGTCAGTGCAGCAATGGGCTGATTTAGGTGGAGGTCAGAGCATCTATGTTTTCTTATCCCATATGTACAGCTCAACTTCCGGAGCTGACTCCTATAAGTCAGAAAAGTTTCCCGTGGATTTTAATATCATTCCTAAACTTCTCTTAACTGTGGTTGTAATGACTTATTATAAACTTGTTTTGTAGCCTATGTCTTTTGAAGTTAAATAAATCATTTGAATTTTCCTTGTAATGACACGGGAAGATGTTACCGATATTATACATCCTTGGAGGAAAAAAAACGAACAAAGAAAAACATATTTAGATTCAGTAATCGTTAATTCAAGTCACAGTGGGCCGACAATGTTGTTATCTCTGTAGGGTGGCTTTGCCTTGCCAATTGTGCCTTGTAAACAGGTAGGGAGCAGACAGCCTCCGACATTTCCTTGTCTTTCTGTGCATCCGTCACTGAAGCAGCATCTGGTGATTTGAGGTGCAGCGGCATTAATTATGGAGTGTGCCGTTTCTACTTGCCCGGGAAACTCTGTTATCAGGGTTCCCATCTTCCCAAGGCAGAATTCCAGGTGTAAAAACCAGATATCCACTGAGATCTACAAATTCTTCTGCAGGCTGAGATTTTTAACAGAGCCCCTCATTGATTCCGCACACACACACACACATGTGCTCACAGGCAGAGGTTAAAAAGTCCTGTGGGTCTGACTGAGCTCCAGTGGTTTGGGAGGTGGCCTCAGTCCGCAATATCCAACTGGTGTAGAAACCTTCCCGGTCAAGGTCCCCAACTGCGGGGGGACTGTGGGGGCTGCCCAGGGCCACTGCTCCTGGGCTGTGAAAGGCTCTACCTTCCTGCTATGCCCGTGGCTGTTGTGTTTCTGGAATATGTTTTCCTTCTGTGTCAAGTTCTGGTTACGTAAGGTGGATTACGGTGGCTTCCCTGCCTTGCGGTCTCAGAGATGAAGGTCAGAGGAAGGACATTCTGTAACAAAGAAGGCAGTCCCACCAGCTTGTTTCGGGTGGTCAGGGGACACCCTCCATTAAGCTTCTCTCTATCCGTGGTTTTAGTGAATGAAGTAAGGGACCCGCTGCTGCGATCGGTCGCCCTGCTCCTCTGAATTTCCTCCCACCGTTCCTATCCCTACCGACCCACAGAGAGGGATCCGGGTTGCACAGACAAGATTATTACCCTCGCCTCCTTCCCTGTCCCTTTAGCCCATCCCCAGGCCAGTTGGGGAACCCCCACCCTCTCTGGAAGGGGGTCTTCAGGGCCCCACCCATGACCTCATCGCAGGCAGCCGGGATGGCCAGCGGTTGCATGGCGCCTGAGCGCACCCTGGGGACGGGTGTGGCCGAGAAACGCACCGTGTGGCATGACGTGGCTTCCCATCACGGGCTCCGGTGGAGGCTGCGGCATCTCTGGAAGATAAACCCGCCAGGCCCCACCCCTGAGCCCGAAAAGGCCCCAAAGAGGACAAAAACAAAAGGCGATTAGGGTTACTAAGGAAGCCCCAAGCCAGCTGACTCATCCGAGTCACGGGGGCTGTCCTGAAACCTGGACAGCGCCCTGGAAAGGACAGGTCAGGGTTCTCCCCCAAAGGGTGCTAGTGACAGAGGCCCAAGTGACCTAATGCACCCTCTGGCCTCAGAGAGGCAGGAAGAGGGAGCAGCGCCTACGAGGGGCACCGGGTGTTGTTAACTACTGAACTGCTGGGCCGTGGCCAGGCCTCTGACCTGCTTTGGATATGAACCAGGCTTAGCCCCGGCTGTGGGCTGCAGAGATCCACACTGGGGGATAGGAGAGAGACATGCACTTACTTCAGCAATCCTACCCGGGTGTCCACTCTGGAGGAGAGACCTTAGCAAGATTCTTTGAACACGAGTCTCAGCCCAGACAAATTAGACCTCTACAGCAGTGCACAAAGCACCCGAGGACACCAACAAGTGCTGGGCATGTCAGCCTGCTGACATCAGGGAGCTTCTCATGGAGTTGTACTTGAGCTAGATCTTGGGGTTGAGCACCTCCTCATAGAGAGCCATGAGGAGCCAGGGCATCCAGGAAGAGGCTGGTATGCAAAGGCTCAGAGGTGTGAAAATCATGGCCACTCCAAAAGCCAAACTGCATGGGGTGGCAAGGCTCTGTTTCCCAAAGTGAGTGCCAGGGCCCACACTTTCATGGGTTATTATAAGTATTTTCTGGTTAGGCCAATATGGGAATGTAGAAAACTGCACCCAGTGGACCAGAGCCCTAGTTCTGGGTTCAAAATGCCTGAATTCAAATGCAGTGCCCCCGTCTTAACTGCCATGTAAACTCAAATATTCTAGCTTCAATTTCTCCATCTACTAGTGAACATTTCCATCTTCCAGTGGCATTTTAAGGATTAACTTAGAGAATCCCTGTAAGAGCCTATTATCAAGTACCTGGCATATGAGAGCTTAATGGATGTTAGCTGGTTTTTGGATTCAGTGCTCGTTTCTTTGTTGCAGGATCTCTCACACATTGTAGTTGGCTAATGGGCCCAATGACTCTCCATGAGTGGGTCATTAGAATCTAATATTTTCCAATTCATTTCACCAGGAATTTTATTATATTTTCCAAGTAGCATCCCACAGACCATGATGTGTGCTGGAAAATGGTGAGATCAAATGGGCCCAGTGCATCGAGGCCAAATGTCCTTAAAGAGCACAAAGTTTCCCAAGATCTTATCTGAAATGCACCAATCTTTACCAGCCACTTCACAAATTATCTTTCATATTTCTAAGCTCCAGAGCCTCCTAGAAAATCGACTGTCTTAAAACCATTTTCAACTTTTAGAAGGAAGAGGTGACAGCAAAGCAAATTTTAGTCTGTGATTTCACACTTGAAAAGTTAGCCTTTGTCTCCGGTTTGAGGACCTACTGTCCTCAATGCAAAAGAGAGATACTAGAAGGAAACGTGGTCCTGCTTTCAAGGAGCTGTTGATTGAATGGGGAAAATCAAGCACACCTTCCAATAGCCAAAATGTGACTTTAGATATCACAAGACACGGTGTACACGATGTGAATGGAAATTGAAAGAAGAGACTCCAATTATCGGAATAATCAGTCACATTCTTTGACATCTATCATGTGCAAGTAACTGGGCTGAGTCCTTTACCATGTGATCCATCCATTTAAACCTTACAACCAGACCAGAGGTTGGGAGTGGATCAGTTCATTTCACAGTTGAGAAAACCTGAGCCCCAGAGACATTGAGTAACCTGCCTGTAGTCTGCCCAAACCAAAGGGGAAGCAAGTTCTCAAGCTTAGGTCCCTCTGATGCTCTGCGTCTACCACCAAGGGAAGACTCCTCCAAGGAGGCAACGTGCCAACTGGCTTTGAAGGTGAGAAAGGGTTGGTGGAAGGTGCAGAGAGAGAGGCATAAGCACCAGAGAGAAGAGCCCAGGGAGACAGGAGAGAGCCCTGGCAGGACAAAGCATGAGTTCAGAGAGTGGGGAAGGGCGAGCTGGAGAGACTCGGTTGGAATGATGAAAGCCTTGAATGCCAAACCACAGGGTTTGGACTTCTTTCATGGAATTATCATTAAAGGTTTGTAAACAAGAAAGTAACATGATGAGAAGGGATGATTAATCTGTTCGCAGCAAGGACTTCAGTGGGGAGCTAGATGGGTGCCGGCAAGAGACAGCAGCAGCTGCGGCTCTCAGGGCAGTGAGGGGAGGAGGGGCACAGTTGGCCCAGTCTCCAAGGCCTTCGCCACCACCAGGGTCTTTCCAAACAACAACCCTGAGGCCTCCCTGAGTCCACCGTCCACGGGGGTCTCAGTTTCGATCCTGTCAATTGGGAGAGAAAGGGTGGAGAATGTAGAGTGCCAAAGGGACGAGTTGACCTTTGAGGGCTCTCCCGGCTTTCAAGCCATAAAGATAACATCCTAAATATTTTTATGGAAATCATTAGCTGCACAGTTCCCTATTCCATCACCAGGTTCCAGACTTCTCCTTCATATCAAGCAGGCATGTTTCCAAAACAACTTTAGGGTCTACAAAAGTTTTATGAGTTTACAGCTATAGCAATTACATAATAATGGTATTGGCACGCAGGGACTGGGGGAGGGTGCATTTTAATACACCCCCTCAGGGAGTACTTTTGTCCATCTTCCTAGCCTCTGCCTCTTGCAAAACTCAACTGTCTATCTCAGTGATTAAGAACTCTCCCTGCAGCGTGTACCATATCAGAATTTCACAGTGTCTCGAATGAAAATTATTCTACCTGGGTGTCTTATGACCTCCTGCAGCTTGCAAATGGGTGATAAGCTTTCAGGAAACAGGGAAGAGTTCCTCTTAATTCTGCAAATCTGAACCTTAACTGACAAACAGGTTTGCAAGAGACATCACATTTCCTTATTTTTCTTAATTCAACTTAAATCTGATTCCAAGAATTTGTGCCAGTAAGAAGAACTTTAGTTTCAGAAATTATTGGTGCTCCTAACTACACAATCCCCAACATTTGGGTCAGGCACAGATTCTGGGACATCCTCTGCCACATCAATTCTACCTAGTCTTTTTGTCCTTTTTGTAAGGAAAGAATCTAATGAAGGAAATAGAGAGGGGAGATAGCTCAACAGGAGCAGGTTTTTGGGACAAACCTGCAGAGGGGGCCCCAGTTGAGACTGAGCCCCATCTTCTGTTTACAGCCTG